GACCAACGTTCTTGCTACTGGATGACATGACTCCATAGGGGTGTCTCCTCTGAGCAAAACTGTGACCAAAACATATATGCTGCTATTAGACCCATAAGATCTAAGAGAAGCTGCAGGATCAAGCTGGTGCTCTGGCATGTGGATTTACATGGCCACAGCCCACATGTCAGACCTGATGCATTCCTTGCTTTGCCTTTCCCCAAACCCTTTTTGCCAGGCTATGACAGCCCTGCAGGGAAGGAAGCATGTACAGAATCAATGGACTCGATACAGAGAGATACCACAAAGGCTATGCTTTTATATCTGGGGTGAAGAGGATGACGACAGAATTATGGCTCAAAGGTATTCGTTATAGTGTCTACTACACCAAAAATGCTTGAATGCCACCAGCAAACCTCGCTCCTCTGCTTAACCCCCATGCCCATTAAGTGAAAAAACATTATTATTCTCATACTTGCATCTGCAGTAACAAATGTTAGAAGTTCTCTTTAAAAGTGTATGCTGGAAAGAGTTAGTATATTCAAACTGTGTAATACTACAAGTCATATTATCATTATGCAAATGGAAAGCAGCCTTTCCCCATTCCTGTAGAGTCATTCACATTGAATAGAAATTAGCTTCTGAATTAAATTAAAATTTTGCAGCACTTCCACTTTTTTATCTGCTTTATTTTAAAATCCTAACAGCAATTCATTGTTTCTGTGAAGGAAGCAAAGTGTTTTTTGCACATAGCCAAAATAGTTTGTCATTATCTGAGGCTAAATTAGAACTTAAATATGGTTCGATGAAGCATTCAGAGACCAGCCTGGGTAGGACTTGGAGCATGAATGTGAATCCTCTACTTAAACATAATGAAACACAGCGCTCATTGAAGCACTTGAACTGAAGCTGAAGGAAACTACTGGTGCCTGGAACTGGAGAGGGAGGCCAACTCTCTTATATCAGTGCAGGCACTTAAATGTGTGATTAATGGGCTTATCTGTAGGCATCAACATATGATATCATAAACACAGTGACAGTGAGCTTTCTTACCGTTTCCAACATCCAACAACATCCAACACAAGATGAACATTTCAAATGATTCTGTGCATTTTTAGAAGCTTAAATCCCATTTTCAAAAGCTATTCAGAGACCAAGGTGCAACTGTCTTACTGGAAGAAAAACACCAATAGGACTTGGAAGCCTAAGATACCATACTTTTGCAAACAAGATCTTTGGTAATTTTGCAAGAACGCACAATGTGGATTTTGCAGCAGACCTGGCTAGAGCTCTCAAATTTCAGAAGGAAACAATAATAATCAGTACATCAGAGTGGGCTGAGCCAATTCAATTTCCAGCATGGCTATTTCAGGGAACTACTTAACAATTTATAATTTTCTTCTGGGACTTTATCTGAACGGCACATTCCTGCTTATGTCCAATATTTCACATTTTTCGATGACTTAAAGGATCTGCAAATAGGCTGGGACTTCCAGAAGACTTTCTGACTTCTTCAAGTTGTAGTTGCAGTCATTTCCTTCTGGCTCTTCAGGATGTTTAGCATGTTGTCAAGACCTTGAGGTCTTAAAAGACTGAAACTTTACCCTTTCAAGGATGCTACAGCATTACCTAACATCAGATTAAAATAGTTTCTTTACATGATTTTGTTTATTAGCAATTTCAACCAGAGCATTTAAACTGAAGTATTTAGAAAGGACAGAGAAGCAAATGCTCTTTCCATCTTCCACAACAGGAAAAAAAAATTGTTAGGCATCTATAAATTGTCCAGCAAATTCAGGCATAGTAGAGACAGTGAAGTTGAAGTTTCCTGCTGAAAACAGGTTGTTATATCTTCCAGACTGCTTTCCATTACTGACCTGAGCAACTAAGCACGCAGAATAATACACTTCAATGTCCTTGACAGTCCAAAAGCAATTTCAAATAAATCCAAGAACCTGCTTCAAACCGTACCAGCACGTAATCATGTTTTTATGACCATGGGCACAGCTCTTTATGACACACATTTTTCCATTCCCAAATCCCCTATCTTAATCTTCATCTCATTTGTGCCATTGCCTCATGTCAAGATAATTTAGCACCATCTGGGGTGTGTCTTTTCTAATCTTATCACTAAATCACAGGTGACCTCATAACAATGGCAAAATATGACATGAGACCACATTTGGAAATTCTTGTGAAAGCTTGCACAGAACTGAATTTGTTATTTTCTAGACAGCCAAGGAAATAAAGCCCATGCAGAATTATTCATAATGTTACATTCATAATATAAAGCATTGGCTTATCTACACACTGATGCCCTCAAAGAAGGGAAGGAATGCACATTTTGGTCATTTAAAACAATTGTCCTAAAGCTTAGAAAAAATATCCTAATAGCAGTAACAATAACAGCTAGCATTTTACCATATATTAAATATCAGGGTGCTTTGCGAGCTTTTTAAGGGGTGCACTGTCAGATATGCAAACAGGATTGCAAGATAAATCCACACATTTCTAACAGGAATACATAGAATAAAAACACCCTGGCCTGCTGTGATCTTTCTGAGTTCTCTGCAACCCAAAAACTGCTCTTATATCTTTCCAGAGTCAAAAACAAGTGAAAACAAAGAGCTGACATTTTCCAGACAGTGCCTCAAGTCTAAAAAAGGTTGAGAACCAGTGCTATATACCCTCAACCAAACTGACGGCCTAAGGTGGTAGAACTTGCCATATTTATCTTCCCTACCTGATCTGCCCTACATCACTACTACTTCTCCAGTCCTACTGAGCTAGTAACTCAAGCACCTGTTTCAGACTATTCCATTGCATTATTCCAGTCGTTACAGGGACTTCTCACTCTTTCAAAGTAAGCACAGGCAGTGTCTCCAGGCTGTTTGGCCCAACAGTTCACGTTTAACAAAATACATAAATGCAGTTTCCATTCCTGCTTTTTCACCAAATCTCACGTACGTCTCCCTCAATGAAGAGTCTCAAAGCACTTTCATAATGAACAAGAGGTAACAGGAAGAAAAATTAACGTCACCATTCAGTTTAAGTTACTCCTAGTGTCTTAGCATATGGGTCTCCGCAAACATTTTATCCTGTTATTTCAAGTGCTGTGTTTTGTGTCTGGGTGACATCTGGTCTGACAAGTTGGGGAATGTGGCTACATATAGTTTACAACCACCAGATTACAGAGTTGCTGTATTGCTGTTGAAACGATCACGTGCCATCCAGGAAGTTTCATAGTGGAGGGTCACTGGACCTTGACAGCTCCCATTCAAGGAAGCGCACTTTAGGACAGTGAAATGGCTACAGCCTAGGTACACTAATCCAGCAAAGATGGTTTGTGTAAAGTGGAAAGGGAGGATAGGGCAAGGAAGCTGAAGGGACTTTTGAGAACTAAGAGGGAAACAGGAACTTTAGTCAGAGGAAAAAAAATACAGAAGAGCATGCATTTGCAGAAGAGGAATCCAATTTAACTGTCTAACAAACCAGAGAAGTAGGAGACATGCTGCAGAAGAGAGAAACTTGATCATTTAACAGAAGTCATATCCGGAAGGGGAATCATTGAGTCCTTAGAGGTTTTGGCCAAAGCCCAAAGGATGCTCAAGTGTGGTGAGGAAATCTGGGGAGGTGTGTGGGTCATTTTGTCTACATAAGTTTGTTTCTTGGGCCAGCTAAACAGTGGTGGGGTTTTGAAATCCGTTCAAAGTTAGCATGTTTGTCTGTTAAACCTAGCACATCCTACAAGGTTGGATGTCTGGGGAAGGATGCAATTAAGCTACTGAGAAGCCTGGGACAACCAGGTTAAGAGGTCCTATTTCCATGGAAGATAACAGACAAAGAGCTTGCATACCAGAAACTTGCTCGAGAGGCCAAGAGAAAGAAATGCAGCTTATTCAGACCAAGGGAAGCTTGCAGACTCCCAGCCCAGCATCCTGGAGAGCATCCATTTGGGGAGAGCTGTATAACTAGATATGGCTAGTCGACCGTATGCTCCCATTCATTAACAATACAGGCAGTCCTCGATTTACAACGTTTCAAGTTACAATGTTTCGCACTTACAACGTTTATAAATCGACACCCTGTTTCAACTTTATGACATCAGTTTAGACTTTACAACGCTTGATCCGATGCAATGCCACTCCGGTGAACAAGTTCGCTGTGTCACCCATCTCCCTGGAGAACATCTGTCCAAACTTTCTTGGATGCTTTCCTTAAACGAGCAGACATGACCCCAGAAAAATCTGCAGCCAGGACTCCTGAGAAGACTCCAGCCAAGAACCCTTCAACAAGTCCAACCAAGAGGCCTTCAACAAGTCCAGCAAAGTCACCTCAAAGAAGTCCTTCCAAACCGATATGATTGCTATTTACAATATAAATACATTAATGTAGCTGTATTACTCATCTATAATTGATCGAGTACACAATTCTGGGGTATTTTTGGTGAAAACAGGGTATCAGGCCTTGGTTCAGGAAGCAATCCCCCCTTTATAACATTGTTTCTTCATAGAAAATTGCTTCTGAGTTACAAAGTTTTGACTTAAGATGTGGTTTTCAGGAGCCAATTGTGTCATAAATCTGAGGACTGCCTGTAATATATTTTCTACCCAAGAGTGGTCTCAAACTTTGGGTTTTGTTGTTGTTCCCTTCTTAGTTCACTATTGTATTTGTCGGAAACTGCCTTGCTGGCCACCTACTGTGAGATTCCTCCCCCACCCTTCCACTGCTTTTTTCACAACTGAACGACAAGTTAATTTAGGTGCACATTTTAAAAAAGTAGCAAAAGATCACTCAACACTAAGTGATAGCAAGAGTCTCACCAATAACTGTACGCCACCTATTAGAAAAAAGACAGCCAGGGTCTTCAGCTAATGTGCCAAAAAAAGCTTCATGCTATTTTTCATAATGTATCAGCATTTACATAAGTATATTCACCCCCTATAATACACAGACAAAATGGTACCACTGTCAGAACAAAACGGTTAATTAAAAGCTTGGATTTTTGAAGCTGTGCTTACCTGGAACAAAGCTTCCCTGGACCACCTCCTTATATGCCCACCAGCCTTCATGGATTTTTGGTGAATTCTGTTGAGCTTAAAAAGGAAAGAACAAAAGAAAATGTTAAACTAGAACAAAACAGAGAAACAAAACTCAATGGAAATACAACAGATGAATTATCCTCTGCCATCTATCACTGCATGGCTATGGCAATGCTCCTGTGGACACCCAAAATTTCATGGAAATGCTGAGGCTGGAACTCAGATAGTCCAGCATAAATCATATACAAGCCTCTGTTTGCAACACAGAGCCTATGAAACAGGAGAATAGTTCAGAACCCATCCAAGATAGGACAAGAATATAATTATGTAATTTAATGTTATCTAGTTCATTACAATATTTTGTACATTAATTCAGTGCCTTGCATCCCAAGTAATTACTAAGCGATTCTCAAAGAAGGTCACTTTGCTTCATACGAGCATCATCAAAACATTGCCTCCTCTGAGCAGAAGGGAAACAATGAAGAATACAAGTACTGCACTGCTCAATGCACAATTCGAGGGAAAGGGAATCTGTTAACAAATTGCCACTCCTCTCTGCAAATCAGGAAACTACCAGGACTTTTACATTTCTGAAATAAATTCAATAAGCGATACGCAAAATACATTACTTTCAGATGTTCATTACCCTAGTTGCTAGTGTGAATGAATCAGATGTGCAGATTTAATCTTACAAATTTGAAGCCACACACAAAAGCACAAAAGTAAGAATGAGATTTTTTGGACAACAGTGCATGAGCTAAGGGGGGGTGGTAGTGATGATGAGTAGTATGATTAAATATTCTTCTCCAAGTAACAGTCACTCTACAGCTTCCCAAATTATGCTTATTCTACATACCTGTGTGTCATTTTTACCTTAAAAATATTGCACTTTTCCTTATTTTCTACCCAAGAGTGGTCTCAAACTTTGGGTGGGAAGAGGCAATGGTGAATTACCAAACAATAAAGACTGTTCTTCCTCATAACAAGTGAGCTGCTTCCCATACCCATCCTATCCACCATAAGGGTATGGCATTAGAGGTCTTAAAATAGAATATAAAAATGCAGCCTGTCGCTTGCCAAATACTGTCTTATGCTATTTGACTTGCAAGTCCCTGAGCTCTCAACTGCTCCCCAAAAAGGCTACACTTACCTTTGATTGTATCGCCAGGAGCAGTTCAAGTTAAGCTCATCAAGCTGCACCCTAAAATTCTCCTTTCTGGGCCACAAGAAGCATGAACCTCTCCAGTTTTCCTTTAGGGCTACTCTACCACCCTCCCGCTCAGGTGGCGTTAACAAGGCACACATGCCCGACAGTGGCTGTCATAACGAACCTGGTTCTCTCTGCAGATTTGCAACATCTGGTGAAAAGCCAGAACTTTGCCATTCTTTTGTGCAGCTAAACACTCTGGTAATACGGTTAGTATTAACAGGCCCTGATCTATATGTCTCTGTATCTTGTTGCTATGTTTCAATGGATAGGGGCACCCACAGCATATATTAGCACATAACATACACCTGTATACACAGAAATACTGTTAACTACAACAGCTAGACTGGAATTAAGAGAAATCTCCCACTTTTCTTCATAATTTGGGCCCCAACCCCGAGAACACGCACTTGACTGTATGCGTATACAAACACATAAATAGTCCAACTGCAGCCAAAGAAATTATTCATGTGAATCAAGCTTAGCAACTGTGTATGCCTTTGACGGTATTGGGACGGTAATCTCCTTAAAGGTATAAATAAAAAAGACTGAGTTTGCAATGGGCTATCACTTGAATTTCCATCATGTGCTGTTTCTGTCTTTGTATCCGTATAGAAAATGCTTTGGTTTTCTTGGGTAGGGTTGCTATAGTTTCTTGGGCTGCCTTTAGATAACAGACACAAGTATCTTTGTTGCTGTTGGCTTTGGTTTCTGGATACAAAGGATTTATTTGTCCTGTATTTTGTCTTGTGGAACATGTGGAGCACAACAGTTTCTATAAATCACTGTCTGTGTAGAAGCAATCAAAGCTTTTTATCAGATAGTCACAAAGATGGCTGTAGATATCGTATGACTAGAGGTTGGCTATGTGCCCCTGAAGATGGGGAGAAATCCTGAAGGAAAGGCAATATTGTGCCCTTCTGGAAAAGCATGTAGTGTACAAGTTGAGACAAGAGTGCTCCAGTTTTCCTTTAACTGGACTAGAATTTGGGGACAGGGTTCAGGAATCTGAATCTCTCAACCATGATAGAAAATGTCCTCACACTGTGGACAAAAGCATAAAAACAACAAACATGTGGTTTCAATAATTATGCTAGAAGTTGAAGCCAAAATTTCAATATATTCTTGACCTTCATATATTTGCTTACATTCAAAGCATCTCTTTATCCATAGTATTATGGAAACCATAGTTATCTAGCATATCATTAACTTAAATGTTGCTGCTGCTTATAGTATATTTTCAATCTTTTGCACAATGGCCATCAGTTTCTGAAAACAACCGTGCCGTTACAACGATACATTGGATTTAGCAGCTTTCTTTTGCAGTCTCATTCTCAGATCAAACCTTTTTATACAGGAGACACAATTACCCCTGGGAGAATCCCAGGAATTTAATAAAAAAGTGTCACTGTCAATAAAAATTACAAAAAGGGATGTGACACTCAAACTACAACAGGATACAAGAGGACCACTCTGCGCTGCTCAGTCGGTAACAAATGGTTATTGGTTTCTCCTTTCTTTAAAGTGACTGACTGTAAACAACATAAACAAAAGTAAAGCCAAGATCAATTAATGACACTGACTCTGTCAAAGCAGAAACCCAACAAAGGCCAAACAGTCATAAGAGCGCACAGCGGTGTATGGATGCAGATTTTTTCTTGAGGCCCATGTCAATTATTGAGATACAGGACATTTTAATGAAAGGGCTACTGGACTGCACACTCTTGACACTGTACATTTGACATTATTACCAGTGTAGTCTAGAGACCTCACCTCAAAACAGGGAAGGCTTTAATGGGCTATATGCAGTAAAACATGTAGAAAAATGACAGTCCCCGCTCCACTACCATAATGTCTTAATAGCCACAATTAGATCCAGTTTGGGCCGGCATCTCATAAATCTGGTACTGATCCTGTGATCTGATCTGTGCTGGGGGACCCCTAACTGTGTGTGTGTTTCAAAAGCTCTTCCTGGGAGGTCAAAGGACAGGAGCCAGTATGGGCACATCCAGATGTGCGTGGACATTTGGTTCCCTGGGGACAAGTAGCAGCGGCACACCTTGCACCGCAGTTACCTGTCCCCGGGAATGCCCATGCCACACAGGCTTTAGCATGCAGCAAGTTGCCCCAGGTAGGGTAGGGGAGGCTGGCCCCAGCAGCCTTACCTGGGGTCCTCCCAGGGCTGCAGCTGTGCTGATTCTGCAACGTGAAGCCTGGCTGGCAGCTGCAACACAGCTCCGGGCAGCAGCATGCACTGCTCGAGTATGTGCTGCGCCACTTTGATTTTTGCGGGGTTTTTTTTTTTTTTTTTTACCCCTGAATATCCACACTTGAGCAGCGTGCCCCTGAAGCACAGAGAACACTGGACTGTGCAATATGTGGCGCTGCAAAGGTGTTTGCAGTGCCACACCGCACGACCGCACTCTTCTGGATTCGCCCTCTGTGTGCAAACTGCAGGTGAGGATGGCTCAAGGGGTCAAGTTATTATAGGGAACAGCTACAGGAACATAAAGATAATCCAGCATGAGGGGCTGCTGATTTTAAGTCAACACAAAAACAGTTCTCTAGCCTGAAGGGTACTCAGTATTGGTAAACTTTTTCATATAAGACTTATTTGCAAGGTCTTGACCATCATTAAAGATGCCATAATTAAGCAGAAGTAAAGGATGTTCCTTAAAAAATAATTTTGGTACCTACTTAATATCCCCTTGGATTGTAAATTAAAGTGTTACATAGTTTTGCCTTAGGCGGCTAATCAGTTGCCCAGAGGTGGCGACGCTGGATGGATTGACGAGGAGATGTGCATATATGCACCTTGCAATGGTCTTTGGGATGAAGGGAATACTATAAAAGTAAATCATTTATTATACTCAATAACCCACACTGATTCTGTTGTTAATAATTCTAACATCAAAGGAAGTAACAACAAAGGTAAGATATTTGCCATAGCTTTCTTCATTAGTATGGAAAGAAAGGCCATCGCTCTCAGTTGTGTGAGGTGAGTAAGAAAACTCGATTATCAAGGCTTTGTACTAAATAATTGGATGCCTGCACAATTGTTTCAGCTCCAGGAGGAGAGCACAACCTGGCACCACTCTGGGTATCGGCCCCTTCTCTGTTTAACAGACATCAACATTACAAGTGGAAAAAGGAGTTTAAGAAACAAAATAACATCAAAACAGCATCAAAACTATTTACTTAAAACACCTCAGCTAAGGCAAGAGCACTGTTGGAGTCATTGGTGAACTGCAGTGACCCGTAGTCGTTGAGTAAATCAAGGGAAAGGAAGAGGAGTTGCTGTCAGAGCACAGCTAGGGAGACAACCTCCAGTGCCTTGCTCTCCTTGGATCCAGAAACCTCAGCATGTTATACCAGCTCAAGCAAAGCTTTCCACGAGAAGTGTGCAGAGTCACTGCACATGAATTTGCAGTCTGCCGCACATGTGAATATACCCTGGTGCCAGAGCCTTGTTTTGACAGATCCTACAGGGACTTTCCATGCAGAGAAAAAAAACAGACTCATGAAGCCTCTGATTCATAAAACGAAGGGGAGGAGGGAACCTTCCCCTGACCCATTACACCAATCCATCCGGTGCAAAAGGCCAAGAGGTCCCACTAGACTGATGAATCTCCACCAGGGTGCTGTGCAATATTTGTACTGTTAGGGCACGTGTAGACAAAACGGGGGCCCTCAATCGAAGTGGTGGGTTTTAAAAAACACCGCTTCAATTTAGGGCTGATTAATAAACCCTCGTGTTGTGCACACACCTTACCTGCCTCTCCAGCAGGGATGGAAGGGCGAGTTGCCAGCGGGCAGAGCATTCCCTGGGCTGCGGGGG